CAGTGATCCGATTGGTTCATTTTCCGCAATTTGCGCAACTTGGAATCCTTTAAACTGACTTGAAAATGTTTGCTCACCGACTTGCAATGTTTGTGATGTTCTTGTTGTCACCTGTAGTCTAGCCGTGTGATGATGATANAATGATTGCCATCGATCGTGTGATTGTCAGACCCGCACATGAAGGTAAACTATCTTCTGCTGCTTAAGCGTTGATAACGGATCAGTTATGATGTGATCAGACCACGGAGAGGGTTAGAGAAAGTTTGGTTGTTTAAGGTCACGGGTGAGAGGGACAAGACGACATGAAACGATTGAGCAATCGCCTGGTCCATTGTTCCCATTCAACGCAGAATATTACTACTCGATGTACGCCCACAGCGCACATACAGACCTGCTGACGTACAAGCACACGGATATTCCTTACATGGGACCCTGACTACATTGACCAATCAATCCGTATCACGTGTCTGCTTGTACGGGCAGTACCTGCTGATGACAGGATTTTGTTGTACGTGAAATACGGTGCTTCCAGTACGTGCCTAGTTAAAGGATTTACTTCTTGCATATTACGGGTTTTATTAAATACAACAATATGTATCCAACAGAGAACTGCATCTCACACCGAAATAGATTGACTCTCTTCATGTAGGTTCGCTTTGGAACGTGCACGTTCTTTGTGTAGATAATCGGGCTTTGCCGTAACCAATGTTGCATTTCTTGCCGTTACACTCAATGAGTGCAGATCTGAAATAGTAGCCAAACAGTTACGAACGTGTGCAACACAAAATTTAATTCTGGTTAATTAAGGTTAAAGTTGTGAAAAGACAAAACCCAACATGTAAGGCAGATCGATACTAAAATGTAAAAGAATTTAAGTGGGAAAAGAAGCGTTTAACCGCCCGGAGCAAGAAATCATCAAACTTACTCTTGCCGACTAAATCGACAGTAGCGGAGCAGTGGATTTCCTCAGCGACCGTACGAAACTCAGGCGTCAGTTTGCTCAATAAGCGTTCACTGGGAAATTCAAGACTGTTTATGTCAAGCGCGTGACTGGTGTCCGGCTGTGCGTTGGCGTCAGTGGTCAAATTGGTTACCACACAGCTGGTGCCTTGCATCACGGATAGTTGTCGATGCATCCAGCAACGCTCTCGTGTCCACCACAGTGGTGGTCGGAATTTTTTCCCACCTGGGGCAGCAACCACACTGCGCCCAAGGATATCCACTTGAATAACTGAACGGAAATCAATCAGGGTTGTACGACAAGGGAAATGGTTACCGAATTAAATGTTCGCATTGCATTGAGTTATTACGGAAACACTGCAAGCTAACAGTAACCTCAAACATACTTGTTTGATATATCAAACAGTATTTATCTAGTTTTCTGCTTAAAACACTGTTATCTAGCAATTAGTAGACGAATGTGTCGGAATTCGTTTGTTTAAATCCATTTGGGTTTGCACTCAAAGGAACGGAAGGGAGGATTATTTTTGGAAACCCTGCTTTGACTCTGTTCATTTGATTTCAATTTTCGATCCATGGGAAGACTATGTTAGGCACTGAACTCATACGGAGAAGGTACGTGTGTCAACTTTTCTCTGTAGAGAATTAGTTTGGGTTCTCACATGATAGTAGTCGCATTTCATATGCTTCTTGCTGCAAATTAGAAGTGCTTAAAATCGAAAGTTCGAGAGAGATATGAATGTTTTATACTTAGTGAAAGAGCACCATCAATGGTCTCCAAGCAAGTATGATTGAGTAAATTTGCCTTTGCACCGTTTGAAGCTGACTTGTTCCACGTTTTACTACCAACATACATTCGGCCGCGCACTGAGGACCTAATCCAGGTTTGAAATTAGTGGTCAATTATTGATCAAAGGGTGTTTCAACGTTCTTAAAGAATAGCAACCAGAATGATCAAATCTATACTGGTATACTAGTTCCAAAACTACCGAAATGATGCACATGTGATCCTTACACATCAAACATTACTCATACCTAATCATTGGTGTCTACTACTATCACCACTGATAATAATAGTCTTTTTCCATGCCTGTTCTTGGTGGGTTGCAGCCATTGATTCGCTGCTTGGGGACACAAATAGCACGAGAATGTTGCGTGGGAGTAATGGAATTCGAACACTTGCTCTGGGGTGATAAGTTCATGATCTTAATCGCTTGATCTCTGCTGCAAACTTAGCACACAAATGTTAAATGTTCTCCTGGACTTTGATTCGGTTAGACACAAAGCAAATAAATTGTATAAATGGTGTTTGCGATTGAAGGACAAGGTTCCGAACTCTCTAATCCGATTTATGTATCTGCTCCCGTGAAACAACGCTCAAAAGACTCACCCTGAGGATATTGTTTGAACGCATTCGAAAACACCGACCTAGGTGGCTGAGTATCGGAATGTTTATATCACTTACCAGTGCAGCGGCTTCAAACGTAGCTGGAATAAGTCACACTGTGAACGTGACCGAGTTTTTCAGCCCCCCTCCCTAAATGGGATTCGTGATCGATTGTCAGCGCAGGGTTGCCGCTCAGGTGCTTAAGCTCCCTGACCGATCCTCTCTCCCTCTCTCTCTCATACACATACCACATCACGAGAGATCTTGTTGATTGAATGACATAAGAAAACTATGAGGTTATCGTTAACCTGACTTCCAGTTTCACCATCAAATCAATTCTAGCAATCTATGGGTTAGATATTTTTCCAGGATAATTTTAATATTGTTTAGTGTTATGCTGGCATGGTTACAAAACGCTGAGTCAGCTTATTCGCCATCCGTAGTTTTCTTTGTGATATAGACCACTCGGAATACATTCTTTATTTTTCTCTGAAAGTTTCACATAATCGTTCTGTGAAAGTCTAGCCGATCTACACTGTGCTTGCCCTCGAACGGAAGTTGGTATCACATATCCTCAGGAACAGTGAGCAAGTTTTCTCCTTCCAATGATTTTAAACTATCGTTTCTAATCAAATCCAACCTCAGGGAAGTAGTTCAAAAATTACCAAAGAAAGTTTTGCTACATGCTTAGTTACTTACGACTAGAATTTACATCGGTGTCACAACACTGAAAATTTAGATTAATCTTTCAAATCTTATTGATTAAGTAAAATTATTGCCCATGGTAGTATAACAATTGTCCGAAGCTGGAATCCATTCGCGAGGTTTACCACTGTTTTATTTGAATTAGAATTCTCCCTGATACACAGAAGTATAACCAACTTTATAATATTAATTAAAACTTAGTCCGAAGATTCTATATTGATAGCAGTTAGTAAACCTGGAAATTCTTTCCTAGATTATAAAATGTCTTTTACCTTCTACTTTGCGTATCAGGGAACATACTTTTATCTTGACTTTTCAGAGCATGGGTCTTTTGCCAACCAGTTATAGATAATGGGAGACTGATATACATGCAGCATTCAACAGATGCATTATAGAGACACCCATTCAACATCCTTTTGGTGCTAGTGATCATGTGGTGTTAATTGTACGCTGAAGACGAGGGACACCAATCTCACAATTACCCCCAGAGGGTCGGAATGTATGGCGGATACAGTTCGATGACATGCGTGCAGCAGCGCAGTTGTTAAACTGGGAGCCGATTGACAGAGAAGATGTGGAAGAATCGTG